AGCTACTTTTAAATATAAACTATGCACACCCTAACATACACATATACTTATAGCCACCTTACTTTTTTGTTTATTTAAACACAAACATACAACATGTTAGCACAGTTCTGCATTATGATTTCCTCTCACTCCAAAGACTATGGGTCCGGTTCTCTGCCCATCCTAGGGTACACATATCTACTTCTTTAACTACTTCTCTGCTAACAGAGACTTTCATCATCTTCCTATTTGTGTTACAGACACGGCAGCTATGACCATCTTGCTCCTAACAGTTCAGATGCTGAATAAAAGCCAGCCTTCACTAGGACAAACCTTCAATTAAAAAACCACTACCACCCACCACCCACCCATGTGCTTTCCCGACTTAAGGCTTCTGCTGCTCTCTTTCTCATAACGTACTTCTTCCCTTCTGTCCTTTTGCTCATCTTTAGTCTCGGCTTAACCAGCCCTCCCTCAGGGAGGACGCCTCTCATTGTACTATAAACATTATCAATCTGCCATTTTATGCTCTCATAATCACTTGCTACTTTTCCATCACAGCACTCACTACACTTTTTGATGGTTCTAACATTAAATGCTTGCAGTTTCACTTATTCCATGGGGTAGGGACAGTGCTGGCTGTGTTCACCTCAGGGCCTAGCACAATGACTGCTGCCAAGGGACCAGACTATACCTGCCTGGTAGGTGTACTACTGGCTTCATTGGCTATCTTCTAGAGGAGATTAATGGATCATATGCTCTACAAATTTTAACAGCAAAACTGACTATTTTCTTACACGATAATTTCCAATCCTGGCAGGCTGCAGGCAAAGAGACCCACTCATGCCATGATGGCAGGGTCTGAAAAGGTTAACAACTTTCTGGTGGGGAACCTGGCGATCTATATCAATAGGCAGACCATTTGGTTAAGCAAGTCTACTATGAGGACTGTGGCTTGCAGAAATAATATTGCATGTATACAAAGATTTAACTACAACATTGTTCTTTACTACCCATTTTATATTGGGAAAACCTCAAATAACCTAAGTAACCGAGCCCCTGTTGTTAAACAAATAAACTGCTTTCACACAGTGGAATACTTTGCAGCCATTAAGAAGTGCTCAGCTGTTGCTGAGTTTGAGACCTCCGTGGAATTACAAGGAAATGACATATTTATGACAGACACTCTACACGACCATCCATTTTAGTGAAACAGATATATGTGTGTGTATGTATTTATTTGTTTATGCACTGAAATCCACCAAAACATTTATAATGATTATCTATAACTGGTAAATTTATAAATCATTTATTTTTCTATTTAAAATTTTTTATAATTAGAAGGCATTATGTTTTAATAAAAAATACATTAAAGTTATCTTTTAAAAATGCCTCTCTTCACTGCTATGACCCACCTAGCAGGGAACCTGGTGGAATCAGGCACCTCTGCTAAGGTGGAAGGCCAAGTGAAGAAAAGTCTTATTCCAGGTAATAATTCTCATTTCTAAATACTTAACCAGTCTTAGAGTCATTTCTGAAGAGAAGTGCCTCTACTTCAAATTATGTGAAACCAGAAAATAAGCAAAGAGTTCCGAGGAAAGCCAAAGGGCATGAGGTGATTTAAAAGTTCCTCCCATCAAGACCCCTTACAGAGTTCAGATAAACCGATGAAAAGCCAGCCCCGGGGTGCACACCTACCACAGCCCCTACTCTCAGGATGTGCCAGATGCACTGCTCTGGAGGTCAGCCTTGGAGACTCCAACAGGCAGAATGTGCCTCTTCAGCAACATTGTAATTACTTCCATGGAGGATTCAGAGGGGGAAAAAACTGCTAGGGGATAGTACTTAGGATCTGTAGTTTCCAAACCTTGACTATACTTTAGAATCACAAATTAAACTTAAAAAGAAAATTGAACCTAGCAATCTTTTTTTTTTTTTAACTTCTCAAGTCATTCTGATATAGCCAACCCATTTAACAGCTGTTGGCTTGAAGGAACTAAGAAATACCTGCTCCATCTGACTCCAATTAGATTAGCACCAAAGTCAAGTCAAAGAAAATGGAAGGCCTCCAAAATAACTCCACTTAAACTACCTTTTCTTATTTTAACAATCTCACCACTGAGAAGCTCATCCGTTTAATTCATTAAATCTTCCTCTGTTAAGTTATAGCTCATTCATTCTCTTTTATTTGGCCCTTAGTGGATCCACCAGGTCCCCTGCTAGGTGGATAGTAGGAGTAAAGAGAGACATTTTTAAAAGACAAATATTTCTTTTTTTAAAACATACTGCATGTTAATTATAAACCCAAACCCACTGTCACTGAGTTCATTCTCACTCATAGCAACCCTAGGACAGAGAAGTCTGCTTTATAGGGTTTCCAAGGCTGTAAATCTTTATGGAAGTGAACTGCTTCATCTTTCTCCCATGGAGCAGCTAGTGGCTTTGAAACACTGACCTTTTGGTTAGCAGGTAAATGTATTAACTGCTGCGTAACCAGAGCTCCTTATGTTAATTATAAAAAATTTTTAATTCAAAAAAGGGGATGTGTATATAAATTATTTGTAAATTTACCACTTACAGATAATCACTGTCAACATTTTGGTGGATGCTAGTGCACGCACAAGTGCATACAGTCAACCATTACAATGTGTGACTGCACAGAAAAACAGAGACTCACAAAAGAAAACCCAGAAGTCTCCTGTGTTGCCACAGATCACCGTCCTGAGCTGGCCTTCCTGCTAGGGGCAGCAAGACTCCACATACCTCAACAAGTGTAATACCGATGTCCATGTGGGTTTTTATCTGTCATGATGCCTTTAACCCCAACATTCTGCATAATACCATCTTGTTCTTTGTGAGCTTGTTTCTAGGGGAGGAAATGTCAAATGCAACTGAGGTGGCATTTCCTGCTTTGATTAAATATCTCAATGTTTTCTACTCACTGAGTTTCTTGAGGACTTTGGGTGCTTGATTTGTGCTAATACTCTGCCTTTCCAGAGCTACTCATTAGTGCTTTGGCCCCTCACTGCCAAGGGAAAATTTATTTCCAAGAGTCAAACCCCTATTTAGTTACAAAGAGAAAATCCTTTCCCTATTACAGAGGTTTTACAAAATGGCCCCCAAACGCCTGACACTCCACTCATCAGGAAGCAGGGTTCTCAGCATTATGAATATACTAGAAGCCACTGAACTGTATACTTAACTAGTTAAACTGGTGGCTTTTGTGTTAGGTGAGTATTACCTCAATTAAAAGAAAGGGAGATTCTAAGTCTCCTTTCCTTAAATCTGGGCTCTGAGCCTGCTTGATCTTTAGAATATGGCAGAAGCAACGCTATGCGGATTTTTGGGCTCAGGCCCTAAGAGATGGACAGCTGCTTCCATTTCCAGTCTCCTAGGATGCTCACTGTTGGAACCCCATCACCATACCAACAAGAGGCTTAAACAGCCTTAGCACAGGTCCACTAAGAGAGGAATTCTGGTCCCCAGGCCTAAGCCCCAGCTTAGTTCCCAAATGACAGCCAGCACTGACTTGCCAGCCATGTGAGGGGCCTCTTGAAAGTGGATCTAGTCTCCTATTGAGCTGCTTCAGCAAAAATGATGTAGAGCAGAAACAAGCTGCTCTGCCAAACCCTACCTAAATTAAGTAGCATAGTGCCTAAGGCACTTGACTGCTAACCAGAAGGCTGATGGTTTAAACCCACCAGCCACTCCTCGGAAGGAAGTTGGGGCAATCTACTTCCATAGTGATACTGCCTCGGCAGCCCAAGTCGCTATGAGTCGGGTCCGACTCGAGGGCACATAACAACAGCAGCAAAATAAGCAGCTGTACATGTTTAAACCATTATGTTTTGTGATGGTTTGTTTTGCAGCAATGGATAACTGGTACGCATATATAAGAAGGAGTGGCTGGTTGTGATTCCGCTCCTAAAAAGATCTGGAAGCAGAGACACAACCAGCTACTTCTACACCAATGTTCACTGCAGCAGTACTCACAAGAGCCAAAAGGTGGAAGCAACCCACCAGGCGCTCTACAGGAAAAAGATGACGTTGTCCGCTCCATATAGAACAAAGCCTTGGAATCCCTATGGGGCAGTTTTATTCTGTCCGACAGAGTCGCTGTAGGTCAGAATCAACTCAATGGCAACAGGTCTGGGTTTTTGCTTTTATCTGTGGTTATAATCCCATTCGGGAATGTTTCCTTTGTCATGTTAAAAGTTTATACCAGAGTAGAGTGTGCATTCGTTAAGCCTCTGAGATGCAGTAAAACCTTCGAAAGCCAGACCTTACATAAGGTGAAAACCTCTCAAAGACAGAAAAGTATTTTTCACTTATACAAGTGATGTTGTTGTTGTTGTTATGTGCCGTCGAGTCATACCTGACTCATAGCGACCCCTCCTTGGGTTTCCGAGGCAGTATCACTACGGAAGTAGGATTGCCCAACCTTCCTTCCGAGGAGTGGCTGGTGGGTTTGAACCGCCAGCCGTCTGGTTAGCAGGCAAGTGTCTTAGCCACTATGCTACCAGAGCTCCCTATACAAGTGATAGGAAAGTAAAAGAGTGTATATCCTGTCTTACAAAGGCTGAAAACTTGTGAGACCCAGAAAAACAAGGCAATCCTGTCAAGTTCTGGTTTTCCCAGGTTTCACTGTATAAAAAGACCAAATTAGGACAGAGATGTCAGCGCAGACAGGGGAAGACACTACATCACATGAAGATCACCAAGGAAGTGAGCCATTACCCAAAAGCTGAGGAGAGACAAGAACCTTCCCTAGAGCCAAAAGAAAAGGAAAGGCTTCCCCTAACAGCACCCTAGATTCAAACTTCTAGCCTCCTAAACTGTAAGAAAACAAATTTTTGCCTGTTAAAGCCAGCCATTTGTGTTTATTTTTGTTACAGGAGCACTAGGAAACTAAGACAGCCGTCAGTACATCTTAGAAAAAGTAACCTGAGAGGATAGGCTTCCCACTAACCTCCTACTCTGCCCCAAGGGTCCAGGGGCCTCCCACTCTGTTTTCTCCTTACCTCCAGCCTCTCAGGAAGGGGCTCGTTCTGCAGGATCCGCAATGCTTTAGCAGCAGCATCGTGCTTTGCAGCCTGTCTCGTCCTTCCTTTTCCATTAAATTGCTGTCCTCCCACAGAAAGTTCAACTTGATAAAGTAAAGGTGGAACTGGAAATGGGTAAAAGTATCTTAAAAAGAAAAGAAGTACAGATTGGTAAAATCTCAGATTGACAGTCATAGATTGATAAATTGCTCATATATTCTCTGGCAAATTCCAGGTTATTTCCTTCATCATGGGTCCTATTACATTAATGTTTGATGGCGATTAATGACTCCTCATCAATGTATCCCAAGATTTCATAAAAGTGTAAACCAGATTAGAATTGCCACACAATATTAGCAAGTATCATTTAGCAATTCAAACCAACGTTCCATAAGATACACTGGCTTAAAAGTTACTGTTTCTGTCCTACAGGGTCGCTATGAGTCAGAATCGACTCGATGGCAACAGAAAGAGTGGCTGGTTGTGATTCTGCTCCTAAAAAGATCTGAAAGCAGAGACACAAACAGCTACTTCTACACCAATGTTTACTGCAGTAGTACTCACAACAGCCAAATGATGGAAGCAACTTACCAACCACCAGAAAGAAAAATATTTTTTACTAATACAAGTGACAGGAAAGTAGTAAGAATGTATCCTGTCTTACAAAGGCTGAAAACTTGTGAGACCCAGAAAAACAAGGCAATGCTGTCCTGTTCTGGATGAACTTCAATGTTTAATGCTAACATGTACTGAAAAAATCTCACACGGACTGTGCTTCGGCTGAGACAGAAACTTCCTAACCTGTTCTACTTTCTCATCCTGAGATCCGGCCCTTGCATGAGGGCTCTGGGAATTCTAAAGCAGAAGTCTTTCAGAAAGGACCTGCTTTTCTGGAAATTCCAACAGCCTATAGTTCGACAGAGCCCAGTTTCTTACATTTTAGTTTGTATTTAAAAAATGGCTTTGCCCTCCTAAAGGCAGGGAAATGAAAACTTCCATTTTGATCATCAATCTATTCACTAAGACCTTATTACTGCCAGCAGGATGTTGTTAAAGTGCAGCATTTTGGGGTTTCGATTAATATTTTACTATACTTATGCTCCAAAGCTACTTACAAGGCACACGAAGTTCCAAAGTCAAAAAGCATCCAATAAACAATAATCAGAAATTCTCTAAATGTGAGAATCATAGTGTTGCAGCAAGTGTCAACAAAGAGCAGTCAGGAGCGTGATCTCTAACCAGAATGCCTGAGGCACACGTCACACGCTACTGAGGAATACTGCTCATGCTCTTGCCAAAGACAGGTGTTAAAAGAGCACCAGCACAACGAAGACTAACACCTGGCGGGTCTGAAGAAGACCAAGTCATTACTTGCTTCATGATCTATAAGCCAACCAAACCCACTGCTATTGAGTCGACTCCAACTCACAGCAACCCTACAGGACAGAAAAGAACTGCTCTATAGGGTTTCCAAGCCTGTGATCTTTACAGGAGCAGACTACCACATCTTTCCTCTGTGGGGCAGCTGGTTGAGTTCAAACTACAGACTTTTAGCAGCCAAGTGCTTTAATCACTGCACCTCCAGGACTCCTTTCATAACCTATAGATAAGTGCTATTTTATTGTTCTATGTACTGATGTATTAATTTTCACTTGTATTTTACCCAAAAAATATAAACCAACAAAAATAAACACATACCTCGGGGGATAAGCACCTCCTCTCATGTTGTAGTTATAGGTGGACTGCATTCGAGAGTAAGGGTCAACAGGCTTGTACATTGGTTTTTTTCCAAGTTTCATGCACAGTGCATTTAGTTCTACAGTAGGAGTTATGCTTTCTGCAACACAGAACCAACACAAAGAACTGTTTTTTTTTCCTGACTTGAGAATGACAGTTATTAAACAAAAAAGAAAGAATAGCATGCTTTAGACTAATTTGATTGATGATGCATCCATAAAAGGGCATAAGAACTTCACTGGTGGGCATCAGTTCAGGAAATCCAAGAATCTGCTGCAATTTCTGGGATCAATACACAGTCAACGGCACAAAATATACTGCATGGGGTATTAGAGGGCGCAACGGTTTAACATAAGATGTCACCAGTGAAAGCCATACACTCCAGTTGTCAAAAATCAGTTCTACTACATATCCATTTCCATGACTGAAACAGCCTATGAAACTGTCCAAGTTATTTTATTGTTCAGGAATATTTAACCAATGTAACTCTGATTACACTGACTGACTGGGTTATTGGCTTACACTTAGAAGTACACGCTATTGCACAGAACGATGCATTTATTGAGGACTAACTATATGGAAAGGAGCCCTAGTGGCACAGTGGTCAAAGCACTTGGCTACAAAATGAAAGGTCAGCGGTTCAAACCCACCAGCTATACTGAGGAGAAAGATGAGGCAGTCTGGCTCTGTAAATATTTACAGCCTTGGAAACCCTATGGGACAGTTCTGCTCTGTCCCATAGGGCTGCTATGAGGTGGAATCAACACAACAGCAATGGGTTCAGTTTTTGTTTTTTTCCCCCCATAACTTTATGCAAAGTACTGTGCTAAGCTAGAGGGATACAACTCCTGCCCCAGAGGTGTTCAGAGAACACACAACACATGAAAAGATCTATAATACCACAGGGTATGGGCCATAAGGAAAGGTAGACTCACTGAGGAAGAGGCAAGTAAGCTCTACCCAAAGGAGATGAGACCTACAAAATATTCAGATATTTCCATTCTTGACATTTATAATGGGATTTGGCCTGTGGTAATAGTTGTTAGGAAAGTAAGTTCCACTTCCATATACAACAGGACCAACTATATCTTGAGTCAGAATTATCAACCTTATAAAACATATTCTATTCATTTTTTTAATTTTTTTCTCAGTTCATCTAGTTCATAAACTTTTACAAACCATTTAAAAAAAAAAAAAAAAGCCTGAAAGATTAGTGTCAATGCACAATCACATTTAAGAACATTTCATATCAAACACAGAACAACACTAGCAATGGCAAAATTCATAAATGTACACAAAAATCCACCTTAAAATGCTTCTTTAGGATATGTAAAAAGAATAAAAGTGACTTGATTCTGTAATATGTGTTTAACTAAATTGAGTGCATGAGTTAAATTTATAAGAGTATCTTTGGGGTTTGCAAAATCAGAGGGTGACAAGAGTTTCCAGCCTCTCTCTTCCTCACCTTAGAATTCCACTTTTTCATAATTCATATAGTTGTACTTTAAGTACAACCTGCATAATTTTAAAAGCAGCTCTAACCCATAGCATTCTTCTACAATAGAGAATGAATTGGAAGAAAGAAAACTAAAAGCAACAAGAAAAGTCTGGCCAAGACCTTGCCAAATTTGTCCCTGAGTATAGACGGACTGGGATTACGTGATAGACTTAAGGGTCAACTCTGCTGGACAGTCCCCCTATCAAGCCTTCAAGTCAATGGCTCCCATCCTCTTCAAGAGATGCTCGTCTATATTTGTTTTCTCCCCTCTTGAGTCCCATGTTTGAAAAGATATTACTACTTGCTAATTTACATTTATCGTTGTTGTTGTTACGTGCCATGGAGTCGGACCCAACTCATAGTGACCCCTCCTTGGGTTTCTGAGACAGTATCACTACTGAAGTAGATTGCCCAACCATCCTTCTGAGGAGTGGCTGCGTAATAAATATATATTCTCACTCTTTTTAATGATCAGGAGACATAACTGACCATCAGGGTCATGATCACCACAATATACATCAATATTACCACACTGAGTTGAAGTGCTTCCAGCTAATACCTACATTCTTGATAATACGTACAGCCTGGTCAAGGGAAAACGTGTTGTCATTAAGCTTTTCTGAAATCTTAGAAATCATTTGTTGACTCCCTGCCCTCCCTACCCCATGACCATCTCTTCAGATCGCTTGAATTCCAGCGACCATAGATTGGGAACTACCACTTTAAAGAATTCCTAAAAGATAAGCATTTGCCACTGGTAGTGTAGAATCTGTGCTTTCAAAATCAACAAGTTAGTTAAGAAATAATTCATATACATACTAAATGGGTACCTCTAGACACACTTTTGAAAGGAACCTGTCTTGGCTCACGCATAATACCTGGATTCCTTCCTTCGCTACGAAAAGGGCGGACTATAGGTTTAGGAAATTTTGTTCCTTCCAAAGCTTTGGCAGCAGCTGTGTGTTGGGCTTTTTTAATACTAGTTCCTTCAGCTTCCCAGTGCTGATCTCCAAGTGTTAGCTGTACTGTAAACACCTACAAATGAAAATTGTGAGCTCTCAATTCATGAAACCTGATGTTGAATGTACTATGTCACCTGGACCTTGAACATTTTTTTATGGTCCTAATTTAAAGACCTGGTCATTATCTTGGTTATTTACCCCTTTACCCCCTTTTTTCTGTTGTTTTTCTAAGTAGAATGGATTTTTAAAATATGACTGATGAAAGTTGCACAGCACTCCATTAAAAAGTATACTTTGGAAGACGGGGTAAGTAGAGAGATTAAAAAATGCTCTTATATACTGAAATAATAGACCTTGATTGTATGGAAGCCATGTAAATAGACATCATCTTCCAATGACTTCTCATGGAAGGCATTTAGCAAACTTGATTTAGACACATTTAGTATTTCATGCAAATTAAGACAATTATTTATTTTGATGCTGTAATGTGTTTGTGGATTCTTGTGTGAAAAATAACCCTATTAGGACAAGAACTTAAGACAAATTAGGAAATGCCACCCAGGTTCTAAAATGTTGCCCTCTGCTTTCCTAAGACTATACATTCAGATGCTGCTTCTACTTTCAGAAGAAAGAAAGATCCCCAGCAAACAAAGATCTACAAACGTTCCTGAACTCAACTCTAAGGAGGTATCCAAACAGCTCATTTTACCCTCAACACACACCTATAATGGCAAGCCTCTTTTTTCCTTTTTAAGTATAAAGGCAACCCAAGGACATCTCCATTCTTAAAATCAGGTTATGTTAATCCATCACTACCAATACTGTCAAAAAACTACAGAACAGTGATTCTACTTTGGTGTGGATCCAAAGTATCACTTAGGGTGTCTGGTGACATCCAGATGCCCTGGCCCCGCCCCAGGGATTCTGACTGAATAGCATGAGGGGGGAACCTGAGCATGTGTTATTTTTAATAACCTCCGAAGTGACTGTGACACACCTAAATTTTGCTATCTACTACTTTGGAACTTCGTAAAATTGGTTGGTGCTTTTATTTTTATTTTATCACTGGATATCACTTTATTTCATCTGCAAATAATTTATAAGGGAATTGGAGGTTTGAGCACATCCAGATCATTGAAATTTAGTGCCAAAGGGGGAGAGGGCAACTTGCCTTGCTGATTTTTCTTGTAGGTCTTAACTTCAGGATTCCCTCAGTGCATAGCTTCCACTAAAGGAAAAAGTTAGAGTCTTCACAAACACACATATACCCTCCCTCCAAAACATTAAGGGTCTGCTGTCCGTGCGCTGTAGTTCCTGAGGTTACTCACTCAAGTACCAACAGCATGCCTTCAAAACCCTGGCTAGCCTGAGACGTCAACCAGCAGAAGCCTGAAATGCTGTGCAATGCCCGTTTTTTTTTTTTTTGGTGATCCTTTCACCGAAAGACACTGAAGGGGAAAAGGCTAAAAAACAAAAAAGAGTTAATCTTATTAACAGTCTTGTCTTTCTCCAGAACTCTCCCCTTCGGTGCTGTTGCCACACTGCTGCATTCTGTGTGGAGGGTGGTAGTAAGGTTAGAATCTTAGGTTTGATAGAATGAAAGGTACCCCAGACCTCCGACTTTTTAAATAGTCTAACAGTCACCCAGGAGGAAACAACTTCTCCTCTGTGAGCAACTCCTGGGTAAAAAAAAAAAAAAAAGGTGCAGTTATGGACTGAACACACAGCAAAACTACCCAAAGTGCTAAAGTCCAGGTGAGAAAGAACATTTTCCAAAAAACACCAAAAATGGTTAATAAAGGGAATCCCAAAGTTAAGGTCTGCAAAAAAATCCTGTAGGAGAAGTGTAACTGTTACTGAAAACAATTAATTGCCTTCCAAATATAAAGAAACATTTGAAATACAGTTATGCTTTGGAATAAAGTTCAAACCAATTTCCTGTGAGGGGGGACTTTGTTTTTCTGAAGTGTGTAACTGCTTAATAACAACAGCTCTGTTTCCTGAGCCCTTACTAAGTGCCAGGCATTGTGCCCACTTTTAACATACATCCTTCTCATTCATTTCTCACAATAGACCTATTTGGTAAGTACTGTTATCCCCATTTTACAAATAAGGAAACAGGTTTTAAAAAAGTACTAACTGCCCAAGATCATACAGCTAGTGAGGAGCCAGGATTCAAATCCACACCTATCTGACTCAAGTCCACTTACCTAGCCATGCATCCTATTAGGCAGTTTAGAATTGATGTTACTTTTAGCCAAATGAAAAGAGAAACTTCACATCATTTAAGGCTTGAGGTTTTGCATGTCAAGAAAATGAGGCACAAAGAGATTAAATAACTCAGACTTAATCATACTATCTTTGCTGCAAGGCTAGGATCAAAAACAGGAGATCCAATTCTTTACTTCTCATGTTATACCCTTTTATCCTATAGTCACAAAAGATAAAGCCAGATATGCAAAAATTAAGTTCCAAAATGTCCACTGGCACAGATATCACACAAGTTTAAGAAACTGAATTCCTGAATAACAAACTGTAAAATTTCAAATGATAGTCAGCCCTTCATTCTCTGAGATTACCGGAATGACAAGGGTAACTGGAATCAGAGACAACCCAAAATACTCACTGAGACTAATTTCTACCTAACAGAGTGGCAAAACTGATTTCCCATTCACCTCCTCTCCCTGCCCAGTCTGACATATATGTGCTAACAGCAGGAAAGGACTCAGAGGTAGGCTGCAGACAGGAGGAGGCCCAAAGCCTGGGAAACTCTTGGGAAATCATTCACAGGAGCTTAGGAATTGTCTCTATTCAGAATCCTGAGCCACCACACACCAACTGGAGTTTTGAGTGCTAAATATCCCAAAAAGAAGCCTATCTTTCCTTTGACCCACTCTGCAAGGATGAAAAAGAAGCAACCCTTCAAAAATCTATACTCTTTCCTTATTTTTAAGACAACCTCAACAGTTCGAAAGAAGTATTTTGAATCACAGCACCACTTTCAAAAGTGTAAAACAAACAGAAAACATTCCTGGTGGTTTAGAAATGCACAAGCAGTACGGACAATATTTACCTTACAGTGAGCTGGACCTCGCTCACGCAAAAGCTTATACCCAGGCTGAATCTTGTTGAAACGGGCTAACTCATTCACAAGACACATTGGGGTTTTCTCTTTGGGGTGTGCCATGTTAGAAGGAACTGCAAAATAACGTAAGAGCATTGATGTCAACTAGCAGTAAGACTGCTGCTCTCCCAGGGATATGCAAATAGAGAGAAAACAAATAGAAGAAATGAGGATTTAGAGCAGCAGGGTTGCAAAACTGCAAACCATACTGGGGCACATGCCCACAGAAGGCACTACGGTGGTCTTTTCTGAACCGGCTAAAGCCAGGTAACCTAGAAGGAGATGGAGCATCTTCAAAAGAGAGAGAATACAAGTCAGAGGCGTAACTAAACCACAGCAGGCAAGCAAGATTTGGCATCAAATGAACCACTGATAATATAACCAATCAAAGAGATTAACAAGGAGGTCTTTTGAGCAGAGACACATTGGTTACCGCAATAGCTGTCAGCCATACCCTGTTCGTTGTTTCACAAAACTCTACATGCCAATACCATCTCTCAAACAATGACTGTCATTTTCCAGATCGCTAACTTCTCATTCCTGGAGTATCTCCATCCTTTTCTCTAGAGGCTGCTACCCCTCATACCTTATTATCTATTTCTGACAGTCCTAGAAGTAAAATAAAATGACTTGGTGGCAAGGAGTTTTACAAAGTCAATAGGATGTAAACATAAGAACATATAAGAAGAAAAAGCAAATAAATCCCAGAGGACTGAAATAAATCTGTGTCTTTGCCTTTGCAGATGGTCTTACATGGTAAATCTAGGGAAAACTGAGTGTCTATAGGGCTATGATAAGCCAAGAACGCTATCTGGTGAGGCCAGTTCAAGCCAGTCTGGAGGCAGTGTGGAAGATGCCATGCAGCTAAATGGAAGATTTACAAAGTAAAGGAAATGAGAAGGCAAAGGAGGAAATGCAAGGGAAATGGTTAGGAATATGTAAAGGGCTGAAAAAGAATTTGTTATAATGTGACTTTGGTATAGAGATACACAATACTGGCACCCCATTTATTTAACTGGTTTTGTACTTTAAGGAGAGGAAGAATATTGTTTTCAGTCTTTAAAAAAAAACGTTTCAAGTCTTTTCTAACCAATGAGTACCTTTAGTTCATTTTCCTAATAATCATTCAAATGCTTCTAAGCTTTTTACCTCCTTTTTGAATCTCTGCTGCTTTGTTCACTTTCTAATTGCCCCTCACAATGATTTCTGAACTACCTCTGGAACCTCCTGAACTTAAAACTTACTTGTTCAAAATAAAAATTAACTAATACGAACACACTTTTTAGCTGCTAGTGAAGTCTGGCTGCCACCCTGCCTGGGATAAAATCTTATACACACACAAAAAGGGGGTGTGCACACACAAGAGTCCTTTCTCAGTTCTGGGAAATAATTTTTAAAGCAGAATTTTCCTCTACAACAATGACTGACTAAAGTGCTAGTTATTGCTCAATTCTTTCTGCCAGTCACCACTTTGTAACAGACCAGGCTTTCTAGGTGGAGTTGTTTTCAATTCCTTTTCCTACAGTTTTGAAATGGTCTGTCAACTGAGATCTTCAACAACCCAATATTGAATAACCAGAGTTTTATATCTGGGACAAAGAAGAGTGGATGGCAATCCTTTCTGCTGTTACTTGAAGGTAAATTTGAGCTCCCTACATCTGCAAACCTACTTATTAGATCAGAAAACAGGCTAAGAAAACATATGAAATAGAAGACACTTGGAGTCATACGCTTACCTGCAGCTGCACTGGTGGATGTGATAGATGCAGAGGGTAAAGCAGAGTTTTGAATAGGTCTACCTGCATTTTCAGAGGGCAGAGAGCTAGCAGTAGAAGGAATACTCATCAAAGGCTGTGAGAGAAGAGACTGGTTCTTGTTCAGTATTTGGCTCCCTGAGAGAGCAGCAGATGGGTTCTGAACTTGCACTTGAACTTGAGACATGGTCACTTTCAACAAAAGTGAACAACTGCAGGTAAACAGCTTTCAGTGCAGGTTAATTCAGTGCTATGAAGTCTAAAGTTCTACCTAAAAGTTGTAAGGGAAAGAAAATAAAAAGGTAAATTATAGAGGAGATATGTAAATGCCAATATTCAGTTAAAACTGGTGTCACCTACTCACATCTGAAGACAGCCCCATTTAGCATGGAGCTAAGCTGATGATTAGAAACACATTTCTCTTCGGTACACATAAGCTTCCTAGGCTTGTGACTTCCCCACAGTGTATTTTTTTTAATGACTTTGAATATCCCCATGCTTTGCTTGTTCATTTTACAGTAAGAATCAGCAGGGTACATGAATGTTTATTACGGAATACTAAAGAATTTTAAACTACAGCTGATATTCAAAAGTGTAAATCTGAAAGTAGGGAGAGGTTTTCCATAGCACACGGCATCGATATAGTAAAGGTCGCTGGTTTCAAAGTTTTAAGAAGCTGAAAGTAAAGTGGGCATGGAACACCATTAATAAGTGAACGTAAACAGTGCTTCCATACAAGGACCACACATGCAGATTGGCACCCTCAACACTTTTTTTTATATTGACTGAAGAAAGGGAGAAATTTCCACTTCTGTCATTTCTTTTTCCTTATCATAATAAAAGACGTATTTGTTTTCCTACAAGGTTTGCATGGCATGGTCTCATTCAGGTACAGATGCCCATATCAAGGCTCCTGACCCAGAGAATGATTTAAACAGCAAAGGTTTGTGGCATGTGTACTACTGAAAGCAGAAGTGGAGAAGATACAGAAAAGGGGAACAGACTGCAGACTTTGGTCATTTTAATGGTGTACCTTGGTGGGACAGCGTGAGGAAAAACAAAGTAGGGCACTGTTCACCTTCATCTTACAAAGTAGGATGGCATCAAAGGCATTATTTCTAAATACATTTACATTTCTTCACAAGTTAAAAGGACAGTTCTGCTCATTTTCATGGCCATCCTTCAAAAGCTGAAATGTTTTAAAGTGAGTCCAAACTACTTAACAATTACCAGTAGCAACAAAGAATAGAAATGACAGGTTTCTTAGGAAATATCCAACGAAAGCAGAAACCAGCAAGCTAACTAATTAGAAGTTCTTTCACAGAGTAACTGTTAAATTTTTTCAAAACTCTCAACATGATTTTTAATTAAAGCTAGACCTCTAAGAAGAGACAAACGACCAGAGCAATTCAGTTATTTGAGAAACCCTAGCGCATTCTCCTCTCTTAGCTGAGAGGCTAAACGGGCTACAAAACTCAAAAGAAACTCGGCTGAAATAAGACTTTGGGTAAAATAAGCATCAACATTACCTTATTCAACAAAGTTCACCAATATTGCAGTTGCTCCTCGTTTACTGATAGACACTTTAGGAATCAGAACAACATCAGAGGACATCTGCTGACAATCTAGAGAACGGTCTTAGTGGACAAACTGTCAGTATCAACAAAGAAGTGTGGAACAGTTTGAAAATCAGCTATGACCGTACTTCAGGAGCTCTGTTAATGTAGTATCTAAGGCATTTGACTGCTAACCAGAAGGCTGGTGGTTCACACCCACCATCAACTCCTCGGACGGAAGGTTGGGCAATCTTCTGTAGTGATATCGCCTTGGACACCCAAGGAGGGGTCCCTATGAGTCGGACTGGACTTGAAGGCAGTGGGTTTGGTTTTTTGGTTTATAACTGTATTTCATTGCTTTTTTTTTTCTTCAACTGGCAAAATATAAATAAATCTAACTCATTCAACCTTTCTAAACTCTGTCTTGAGGGCGTTTGTCTACAAAAAAAAAAAAAAATCATATATAGTGTACTCCTAACTTCACACTACAGATCAGACTGAATCAGCAAGCCATATAGCAGTGTCTGCTCCACAGTCTACCCACCTCACATCCCAGAAAGAGCAACCCCACTCTGTCCTCTGTGGCTCCTAGAGTCTGAGACGCTGAATGAACACCTAAATTTAGAAGGGGTGGGGCTCAAAGGGATCTTTTTGGCCCAGGCTGTCTAAAACAGGCCCAGTGCCAACCATTTCCAGTCACAGGCATTAATATGTAAGTCTTCTACAAGCTGAGAAAGGGAAGAGGCTCTTAATTAAGACTGCCCCCAAACCGTTACCTTCCCAATCACCTGGAGGGATATGTCTTTCTAACAACTGCTTGAAAAAAGTAGCTGAAAACACCAAATAAAAATTGAAACATAAAAAGCTTCCAAATAAGGATGTGTACTTTAAAATTTTTATTTTTCCAACAATCAACAAACAGTACTCATATTCCAATAAATTTTTAGTCACTCACTCATTTAATATTTCCTTGTATCTTTGGGAAAGAGCTCTGGTGATATACTGATTAAAGCATTTTACTACTAACCAAATGGTCAGTGGTTCGAATGGTGGTAGGTTTGGTTTGTTTAGATGGTAGTTAATGTGCTCACCTGCTAACCAAAATACTGGCAGTCTGAGTCAACCTAGTGGCACCTCAAAAGAAAGGCCTGAGCATCTACTTCCAAAGCGTCAGTCACTGAAAATCCTATGGAGCACACCCCTACTCTGACACACATGGAATCAACTCAATGGAGACGGTTCATGTGTCTTTAAGTCTACAAAGAGGATCTGTAAAGCAATGGCTCTCCACTGGGATGCAGGTCCTTCCCAGGGGCCATGTGACTATGTGTGGAGCCATCTGTTAAGGTGCTCTGGTGGTACAATGGTTAAAACATTCAGCTGGTAACTAAAAGTTCGGCTGTTTGAACCTGCCATCTGCTCCGCAGGAAAAAGATGTACAGCCTTGAAAATACTTTGGGGCAGTTCTACACTCTGTCCTATATATAGGGTTGCTATAAATCAACTTGATGATAGTGGGTCTGGTTTTTGGTTTGGAGGTATCTTTAGGTTGTCACACCTGGAGGAGACAAGAGGGAGGCCACTGGTATCTAGGGGTAGAGGGGCCAGGAATGCTGTTTCAAGAACACATACTACTCAACAAAATATTACTAATGTAATAAGTAGCCTACATTTTTAGAAGAAGAAAAATCCCTTTCATCGCCAAAAGGCTCTAAAACATTGATGCTAATATTTTACCATCTTCTCTCCAAGTCAGAAAAGCAATCATAGCTATGAATGGAGAGAAATCTATTGTTGACTTATATTTTAAAAGAATAAAGTCCTATATTTTATGGACCATATGTAAGCACTGTAACACTAAAAGGACTAGAATGATGGAGTTATACGTACACCTTTCAAAAGATTCCTTAATTCCATGTCCCCTTGGTCTACACGTTGGCTTGGCAATTCAACATCTTCTCATCAAAACAGTCTCACTTTGGCTGGCAGCTTCTGTGGTACAAGTGTCAAGCACTTTTTAGTTGTGGGCTGTAGGTAAGGGGAATATGGGCACATGAACCCTGCAAGAGCGTTTTTTAAATTAAACATTACATGGTGTGCTCCAAAGTGGGTAGGCACAAAATGCTTATACCTCACTCAGCAGTGCATCTACGTAGACTAGACCATACTGAGTGCACATTTTGAGTAACTTGTTTAATACACAAAACATGCTCTAGAAATAGATTACAGACTTATCTGCAATCTTATTATTAGTGTTATTCACCTTTAACAGACCGTTAAATCTTTGTAGTATGAATTACTTCAGCAATTACAGAAAAACACCAGTCTCCTATTCAACTGGATTAACGTATGCCTTATAATGATGTATCTATACTGTTGTGTAGTAATCAACACATCAGTCCCCTTTTTAATAAGTGGTATTTCCTAATAGGGAGCTCTGGTAGCATAGTGCCTAAGACACTTGACTGCTAACCAGAAGGCTGGTGGTTCAAATGCACCAGCCACTCCTCGGAAGGAAGGCTGGGCAATCTACTTCCATAGTGATACTGCCTCGGCAACCCAAGGAGGGGTCGCTATGAGTTGGGTCCGACTTGACAGCACATAACAACAACAACATTTCCTAATAAGACGTGGCACAATGGTTAAGCACTCAGCTGTTAACCAAAAGGTGTATGGTTCAAACCCACCCAGTTGCTCTACTGGAGAAAGATCTGGATATCTGTTTCCACAAAGATGTCAGCACAGAAAACTCTATTCTGTCACATGGGGTCACTATGAGTTGGAATCAGATCAACGGCACACAACAACATGTGCAAACCCATAAACGGCAGATTGTACATTCTCAAATGCTGGAAAAAAATTTAATCTGTTAAAACTTTTCCTCAAAGGACAGAGTATTTGAACCTGTGGGCTTGGGACCATAGTCGCAAGGGACATCAAGCTTAATTGGCATAACATACTATACAAAACATTGTTCCACCTTCCACTTTGGCAAGTAGCAACTGGGATCTTAAAAGCTAGCAAGCTGCCATCTAGATGCAACGATGGGTCTCTCCTCATCCAGAGCAAAGAAGAATGAAGAAAACCAAAGATTCATGGAAACAATGAGTCCTAGTGACTGGTATACCATCTGATCTGCAGCCTATACAACTTTGAGACCAGAAGAACTAGATGGTGCCCGGCTACCACTGTCATCCACTTGGAAAGGGATCTATGTAGGAGACCCTTGATAGAGAGGGAGAACAATGTAGAACAAAACTCAAAATCATCTGGAGAGAAGAAAAAAGGGGGGGGGCAGGTTTGCTGGTCCTATAGAGCCTGGTGGAACCACTGAGACTATGGCCCCTAGCTGCCCCTCAGGTCTGGAATTGAACCCACACCCATGGTTTCCAGTCAAACAAAAGACAGGCATATGAATTGCACATTTACCTCAGGCAGATATACTCCTTGGAGAGAACAATCATGGGAGAAAGAAGGGCTGCTTATGTATAGGGAGACAGCTCAGGAGGCAGGAGTGCATGGAGAGATGGACACTGGGAAGAGGTAACTATGGGGAGGAAGTGGGAGGGGAGCTGTTACATTGTGGTGAACTGTGGTCAATGTCATGAGACAAAGTGTATGTGAACTGCTGTATGGAAAATGAATTTGCTCTCTAAATCTTCACCCAAATCACAATTAAAAAAAAAAAAAAAAAAAACTTTTCTTCAAATAAACAAGAAAAGACCTTTAAGTAACCCACTCTAAATCTGAGCTCTGGTGGCGTAATGCCTAAGGCATTTGACTGCTAACCAGAAGACTGGCGGTTCAAACCCATCAGCCACTCCTCAGAAGGAAGGTTGGGCAATCTACTTCCGTATTGATACTGCCTCGGAAACCCAAGGCGGGGTTGCTGTGAGTCGGATCTGACTCGATGGCACATAACAACAACAACAACAACTCTCAATCTATCAATCTGCTCGCTCTAGTTTTTGGAGGTTCCCTTCCCAGAAAAACGATGTCAACAAACTTTTTAACAACAATAAAATTAAGAAACAAACCATTTTTCTTACCACATAAAGTCCTTTTCAATAGCCTTCAAATATACCCAAAATTTCCACATCATCCTCTCATATCCAACAGTTCTAGTTGCAGTGTGGTTTTAGGTTTTTTGCAAGTAAACTCCCACCCTACTCTCACCTGTACATAGCAATTCACTGACTCTAAATATCGTCCCAATACCTGCAGGCATGGCACCTGCAAGTACAGACTATGATAATCAACATCAGCCTACAATGATCACTCCCAACAGGACTGCTATAAGGTGAAAGTGAAGCAGACGGTGTTCAACAGCAATTTCATGTCAAATCACGCAGCAGAAGGTTCTTTCAAAGAAATGTGACCAAACTATTTAAAAAGAAAGAAGAAAAGCAAACCAGCCCACTATGAGCTCAAGAGAAAGATGTAAGAAAAATGGCTTGGAGAAGACTCAATCACTTGCGAAACAGTAACAATGGACAAAAAACAATGCCTGGAAACAGCCCATGCTGTTCAAGACCTTTGCATCCAATACAACTGAGTAAATGTGGCCCTGTCTCATACTTGGTCCAACACCAAGTGGTGATGGAGGATTTTCTTTCCACACATATGTAATCACTGGGTGATGGCCTGGTTAAAGAAATATTTCCTAAAAGAGAATTATTAACCATTCATCCAAGAAAAACCATCACACCATGCTTTGTAGTAAAGAAAATTTACCCCTATAGCCTGATCAGTTGTGACCTTTATATTCATTTTTAGCTTTAAAACCCTGTCAGGCTCACTTCTCCCTTTCTTCAAAAAAAATTCTTAAAAACAACTAAACTCAAACATGCTATTTTTTTATGTGGCAGTTTTGTTTTTTCTTTTTTTAAAAATCTAAACTTAAAAAAAGTTTTAAACCAAGCAAAATGAGTATTCCTTCACAATTTACTGGAGATTTTTGAGAATAATGCTGTGTGACATTTTCTTGACTAAGGGGCTTGATTCAACATAAATGGTTAACTGGCTTTTTTCCTTTCAGAAAAGTGAAGTTGTAGTGTGTAGCCATGCACCATCTACATAGAAACACAAATGCACTTACCACCATTTCCGTGCAAAACAGATCCAGTGCCAAGACCCAGTTTCTAAGAAACCAGCCTTGCTGCTAAGTAGCAACCAACAATATTAAATGTGATCAAACTTTTGAGCTGTGGTTTTCAGTTCAACTCCCAACTCAGACAGCAATTATATGCCCAACTTTTAGCAATCCACAGACTTGTGTCTGTTTCCCCAGAGCGTTTTAAAACAGGACATTTGCCAAAGCTTGAGTTGTAGCAATCTGAGAGCTACAACACTGAAGGAATCCTGAGGCACGGCAGCATAGTTACCCAGTTCTTTGAAAAACATTCTACATATTCAGAGTGTGTGTATGTCTGTGTGTAAATCCATTCACTGGGCTTTATACTTCTCTTCCTTATGCTTCGATATCCTTATCCCCAAAGAAAGTGGAGTTAGCTAGTCCCCTATTACTACCCCAGAGATATAGTACAGCGACACGAGGGAAAAGCTCTTGGAGAAAAGTACTACTAAAAAAGAAAAATGAACCCATGAAGCATTGCTAATGCACGTAGTGCAATTTCCAGTGCCCTGATAAATTGTATAATCGTGAACCCTCATAAAACTGTTTTTGTCTGGATAATCACAGCTGGCAGTGGTAAATAAAGTTTGATTTGCAAACCTGTCTCACAACAGAGAACACTGATTTTGTTCTACAAGTTTGAAAACCAAGGATAACATAAACCACCCAAGAAAAATCCCCGAACTAAAGCTAACTATGAAAGGTGCTATGACCAGCTTCCATGTTCCTTTAAAATCCATGGAGGTGCTGACTAGAGGGTTTTACAGTCTTGCTAACAATTTTTTTCTGCATTTACTTTTAAGTAAATGTTAAGAGGAAAAAGAAATTCAAACTATGTAAAATTTCTCCTGTTTCTCTTAAGATTACAGCCTGAAGTAAACGTCATTTTTGGCACAAGTAATTTAACAATTCAAGTACCACTGATTACAAACAGGTCTGTAACTACAGAGCCCAATTACTTGTACCTTAAAAAGAGGATGCTCCAGGAACAATGTTGTTTTGGTTCAGTTCTGAGAGGTTATGTGGTTAAGAAACCCCTAGAAAATAAGAAACAATAATGATTTACTAGAGTAGGTCTTTTTCTGAAAATGAAGACACATGCTGCTGAAGTTTCAGGAAAACATAAAAGTTACAAATTGGAAAGTTTTGGGAAGCATGTCATGGACCTGAAGTAGCACAATGTGGAGTCTACAAAAGACACAACCGCCTGGGACCTGGTAAAGAGCGCTTTGCAGACACATGTATATGAAAGACAATAGAAATTTCTTTTTCAGTCTCAATCATCTCCTACACCAAGAGCTGTGAATGCCCAGGAATTACTTTTTTAAAAAAAGGAACTAGCATCATATATTGTGCAATCTGACAGGCCTAATTTTAAAACCTGTGGGGATCCCCCTTAACTAACAGAGATGACTGGATGGCACCTAACAACAACAAATATTTCATTCATTAATGTCCTTACTATATGCGTGATGATGCAAATGCAATTACAAGGAAAAAGCTACCAGAAGGTATGTACTATATAAATTACAAACTATGAAAAAGTATATAAACGATCAAAAAAAAAAAAACTCACTACCAGCAAGTCAGTTTGACTCATAGCGACTCCACTATGGTAGTTCAGTTTGTGTGTCAACTTGGCTGGGCCTGGTTGAGTGGCCGCGCAGCTGGATGTAGTATTCCCCGTGATGAGACTGGTTATCAACTCCATGGTGGAATCTACTTTGAGTAGCAGAGTAGCTGCCTCAGGGCTATGGTCCACTTCCTGTACATAAGGAGAAGGCTTGGGGAATGGTCTCTAGCTTATGGCACACTTGAACCCTATATGTAGCCGAGTCGTTGTTCAGAAGCCTGCCATGCTCCACCGACCTTGAGACTTTCAATGGACTTGAATTAATGGGCTGCCATGTGGTTTGGTAACATCGGGACTGTGCCCTTTTTTGGGGGGGAGGAAGGGCACACTCCCTCCCTGCATAGACATACCTAATAGTTCTGCCTGTCCACCCATCTATCCATGTTTGTCTTCACTGACAATGCAGTACTGTATATGCAAAAGGGTTCATCTTTGTTGTCTGTACCTCCCATGTACCTCTCTCTCTGCCTTCCTCTTCCTCAATGCCACCATGTTGGTCACTCACATTTGGTACACTGCCCTTCTCTTCACCCAAATCAATAGGGACTGTGCCTTTTTACTTGTCAACCTGGGGCTTGTCAGTCTCAGCAGCCAGCAGCTGCTGGCTAGAGAAAAGTCTCCAGCTTCAGTGGGCCGGGAGCAGGAGGCAGAGCTGAAGCCCAGGGTTGAGGGGCTTCCATCCAGCCCCTAGAGCCTGGCACTTTGAACTCAGACTTAAAGCCTCCAAATTGTAAGAATAAACTCCTGTTTGTAAAGCCATCCCATTTGTGGTATATTCTTGTCAGAGCAGCACTAGGTAACCAGAACACCCACAATGGGTTTCCGAGGTGGTATCTCTATGGAAGTAGATTGCCCAATCTTCATTTCGAGGAGTGGCTGGTGGGTTTGAACTGCCAGCTTCCGGTAGCAGTCAAATGCCTTAGGCACTAGGCCACCAGAGCTCCTATATTAATGCTAGTGAATCCAAATCATTATCAGTTTTTAGAACTAGACTACAAATGATATAAGAGTTGAATTCTTGAACTCCCAGGTTTAATTTTTCTAGATGATTCTTCCATTTTAAATGGTTGTAGCTAGTTAGTGGTTGAAAAGTGCCATCAAGTTGGTTTCAACTCATAGTGACAACAAAACAAAACCCGGCCTGGGCCTGCATCATCCTTAGAATCACTGCCATGCTTGAGCCCATTGTTGCAGCCACTGCATCAATCCATCTCACTGAGAGTCTTCCCCTTTTTTCTGATCCTCTACTTTACCAAGCATGATATCCTTCTCCAGGGACTGGTCCCTTCAGACAACAAGACCTAAGAACGAGACACAAAGTCTGGCCATTCTCACTTCTAAAGTGCATTCTATACTATGCAACGCTAAAGAATAATGTAGAATCTGCAGAACACCGCATAACGTGGATGAACTTGGAGGACATTATGCTGAGCGAAATAAGTCAGTCACAA